TGAGCAGTCTCTCCTGACACAACCTCTCCCATGCTGTATGTATTTAAGTTTTTACTGCCTGTGTGCAATACCCTACACTACATGACTGCTGTCTACAGTGAATGTCTTCTGCCCACTTTTGAATTTGATCTAAATCATTTCTAATGTTATTTCCTGCTTTTACAATGTTTGCTCATCCTCCTGATTTGGTAACATCTGCAGAGTGGCAAGTACTTCATTATTCCGCAGTCTAGGTCTTTGATATTAATTAAGAAGAGCAGTGGGTGTAGAACAGGGCCTTGTGATGTTCCACACCCCACTTTGAGTATTCACCCTGCATGCTCATTCATGCTAGCTCGTTCTCAACCCAAACCTTTCCCTGAATGTCTAAGACCTGTTATTTGAGACTTAAGCTTTTTTTGGAAGTCTGAAAATCTAAATCCCACCATGCCATATGCCCCTTGTCCATGCCTGTTGTTGCTTATTGAACGATCTCTAACAGGTTGGTTAGGCAAATCCGGTCTTTTCCTTGACTACAGTGGGTAAAATGCCCTCAGGCCCTGGGGATTTACTTATCTTGACTGCTTCTTATATCCAAAACACACATCCGTCTCCTATGCTAATACTGTCCAATTAAGAATGAATGAAGTGGCGTACTTGTTCAGTACATCAGCCATTTCCTGTCATTGTCTAGGAGCTTACCTCTTGTGTCACAGATACATTTTACTTCACCTGTGATGGTGCATTTGCTGTTGTATTACTGAAAGAATGTCTTATGTATTTTAGACCCAACTACAATATTCCTTTTAAGTTTCTCTCTTGGCTTTTCTAATATCCTTTTGTACCTGTATTTGCAATTTGTTGTACTCTGTAGTCTTTAACTGGATTCTGTTGTTTTTATATAATTTCATAATTGGTTCTCTTTTCTCATATCGTTTTTTCCTCATTTATTTGTTGAGCCATTTGTGCTCATGTTTTTAACTTCGGAGTTAATCTCTTTTTGGGTAAATTTGTTCTGCTCTTTAAGCAGAATCAGTTTGCCATCCTAATTGTAACCGTTACCTGTCTGTGATGGTGAAAGTGGGGGCTTTGTTTTTCACTATTGGAGTGAAGGTTAGACATGTATAGCTCACTCTATTGACTTCCAGTGTGACGTTACACAGGTGGATTCTGTCATTGGCTCTGTGGGTAATTGGCCAAGGGCTGGAAGCTGTGTCTGGGCTCCTGGAGGAGTGGAAGAGATACAAGAGCATAAGGACACTTACAATTCGATTCTTCAATAGCTTCTACCCACAAGCAGTGCGATTGGCGAACACATTTGGCCATGCCCCTCGGACCACACCTACACCATCACCATCTCCCTCTTTATGATTTCTTATCTATCGCACATCTCCAGTCACTGTTTACATGTCTGCATTGTTTACATTCAAACTGTTTACTTGTTTACCTGCACATTGTCTACTGTTTGTTTGTGTATTGTCTTGATGCTCTGTCTGCACTTTGTGTTTTTACACTTGTTTTAACAACCGAGAGACTTTCTGTAAGTAAGAATCCCACTGTACCAGTACAGGTACCGGTTACATATGGCAATAAAGTTCAAGTTCAAGAGAGTGAGAGCTCAGAAATCCATGTAGGTACTGTAGCGCAGGTGCGGTCTTTCGGCTCATGTGCTCCAGTACCAGAGGCCAGGCTTGCAGGCTCTGTGCCAGAGAAGCTCTAACACGAGTGAGTGTGAATGAAGAAGTTCACAAGAGCTGCGATTAAGGATTTGTGGTGATTACTGAAAGAAAGACCCAGAGTGACTGGGTAGCTCATTTACTCTGGTGACCTATGCCAGTATTTAGTTTATGAAGCTGCAGTGTCCCATTAGGGAAGGTGATTAGTACTGCTACAGTAAAGAGACTGGGTGTAAAGGGTTGAGCTTAGCTAAAGGCACCAAGGTGTCTGAGTAGACAAGGGACAAGTCTGTGTCATGTAATGGAGAGACCTAGCTTAAGGAGTTCACCCACTACGGCCTTCCAGACACGGAAAACGGATGAGTTGATCTGAAGAGTGGACGATGGATTGTTGCGTGTGTTCTTAAAATCTCTGAAGGACAAGCAGCCGAACAGTGGGCTGTGCGGGTTTCTCTACTGGCACATATTGGGGCCCAAAGAGGTTCTGTCTGTAACATGCAGTGGCGGACCACATTCAGCTGCACGGGTGTTAAGGTGATGAGCTGAATCAGAGCGACATTTTGTGATTTGTGGGTTGGCCATCAACACAGTATTCTGTCCCTTTCTACTTCTCTTCAGCTGTCTCATTCCTTAAATCATCTTCCTGGAAATGTTAAACTCTCTTTTGCTTTGGACTGATCCTGAACCGTTTCAGAGCAGACTTGAAAGCGCACCATCTTCGTGTGGAAAGATCCGTGCAAGTATTTCCTCTTGTAGGTGCTCCAAGAACGGGCTGAGAAAGCTGTGTACCACTGCTGCTAATACTCCTAGAGATCTCTTTACTCTGTCAGGAAAGATCCCCATACAATTTCTTCTTTTGCACATAAGTTATTATTTAATTCTACATTGATGATTGAATTATAAAGAAAATCTTCTTTTAGTGAACTAAGTCATACTCCTAACCCTATGCCTTTGGATAGATTTTTTTTTTGAGTTGACCAATAAGTAGTCAGAGAGTCTTGATTCTTCCAGCTTGAGTTCCTGAGCTGAATGCTCTTTTTGATGTAGTGCTACACCTGCTCCTCTTTTCTGTTCTCTCTTGAAACAGAATATATCAACTACTGTTACATTCCTCATCAACATTTTTGGTGAGTCAAGTCTATGTGATTCCAGTAACATCATAATTGCTTTCTAATGTGATTTTTGTTTCTGATATTTCCAGCATTTAGACAGAAACACTTAATTACTTGATCATCCATCTATTTTCTAACCCCTTTATCCAATACAGGGTTGCAGGGTTAACGCAGCCTATCCCAACAAGCAATCCGTGTAACCTTCCAGGATAAGAATAATAATAATAATTGCTTCCACTTATATAGCACTTTTCTGGACACTCCACTCAAAGCATGTTACAGGTAATGGGGACTCCCCTCCACCACCACCAGTGTGCAGCCCCACCTGGATGATGTGACAGCAGCCATAGTGCACCAGTACACTCCCCACACCAGCTATCAGTGAGGAGGAGAACAGAGTGATGAAGCCAGTTCAGAGATGGGGATGATTAGGAGGCCATGACTAGTAAAGGCCAGGGGGAAAACCCTGACTCTTCTTGAGAAACACCCTGGGAGTTTTAGCTCTTCCAGCCGCAAACACAGTTTTTCCCAGGAGTCTCCCATCCAGGTGTACTGACCAGGCTCACACCTGCTGAGCTTCAGTGGGCTGGCATGGTGAGCTGCAGGGTGATATGACTGCTGGCCATGTATGTATTGTATGTCTTTGAATTGTGTGAGGAAATTGGAGAACCCTGAGGAATCCCAGGCAAAAGCCGTGAGAACTTACAAGCGCCACACAGACAGCACCCCAGGGCCAGAACTGAGCGCAGGGCCCCAGCAGTGCTCACCGCTGTGCCCCGGTGTCTGCCTTGCTCGCTTATTTGTTTTTCCCTTTGGTTCCCTTGGTCTTTGTAATTCCCTGTTCGATGACCTTCGGTTCCTCCCTTCATCCATTCCCAGTTTAAATGTTATCGGACTCCTTCATGGATCCTCGTGTCAAGATGACTGGTGCCCATTTTGTCCTGATGTAATCCTAGATAGTCTGTGGCCAAAATATCTAAAGCTCCCTACTGCACATCATGTTCCCATCTATGTGTTGTGATGTCAGATTATCTTTGTCCATTGTTGGCTTTTGCCCGGTTGTGGTAGGATTCCTGAGAAATTCCGATTTGGTCCTGTTTTTAAGTTTCTTGCAGAGTTGTTTCAATTTGTTCTGGTTACATACCTGCATGTTAGATACGTGTCTGCTGCTCATATTAGAGTGCCTTTTCTTTAATACGCTTTAATAATACAACCCTGCCGTTGTATTGCACAAGGTACGTTACCCAGCTTGTTCCAGTCTGTTTGGTGGGAGTAAATGGGTACCGTTTTGTTAGCTTCTTTGGAAAAAAGCCTCAGCCAAATTAAAGGTCTTTACAAAAGCTCACTGTTACATGGTGAGGAGTCGTGGGAGAATAACTACACAGCGCAGTAAAAAATGAATGGTGCTTCATACAATGCAGTAGACCACAATTTCACCTCAAGTCCCAGTGTCAGAAAAGGCAAGGTGGAAATATTGTGGATCCAGGAGGATGTTTTGGTCAATACAGATTCCCGCGCTCTGCATTTCTGGGATTGATACCAGACATGTTGGGGGCGCTCACCTCCACTGCCCTTCTACCACATGGCCAAGCATGTCTGCATTGAGAGGGCTGCAGTACAGTGCATTGCAAAGCCCACCCTCACACCTGTCTGAGCTCCCAGAGGGAGCCGTCCCGGGTCAGATCTTCAATGGGGGTGTTGAAGTCCAAGTACAGCAGGCGTTTCCAAGGGACCAACCTACATCATTGGATTACGAAGGCAAAATAAAACAGGGTTTTGGCAGGTGGGGGTTATTAGCAAATTCACTTTATTTACTGACTTAGCCCCTCATGTTAAACTCACTGTAGAACACGAAAAAGAAACAAAACTACAGGAATGACCTCCTAGATCAATGAGTTCATTAGGGCCTTAAGCAATGGATATAATAGATAGATAATACTTTATTAATCCCGTAGGGAATGAAGATAAGAGCTCAAACACACTCAGCATGAAGGAAAGAAAGATGGTCTGTCACCTGTCACATTCATTTGTACCCTGGTTACGTATACACCGGATCTCATAAGGCTTGAGATGATTGTTGCTGAACAGCGTTGCAGGTGGGACATTTATTTTCCTTATGTCTCAGATAACAAGTCCCGGGATATGAGCCCGTTCCCTCTCTCTTGTGTGGGAAGTGTCCTTCTGGGTGGCCTTGTCTTGCGTTAATACTGTACTCTCTCTGCTGTTCCACCAGGAGGGAACCCTCCAGAGTTCACATCACATTTTCAAAGAGGCCCTGGAGGACAGCAGCAGCACGCAAACTGACCAGGTGCGAGCTGCAGGACTGAGCACTTGTGCAGTCTTTCCAAGACAGGAGCTTGGATATTTGTTGAGCACAGCTCTTAGATGTATAGTGTCTGAAAACATAATGCTTAAATGAATGTCATTACATGTCTGAGACCTCATAGTTCAGGCTTTTCGGGCTCAATGTGCCTGTGGTTTTTGCTGTCATCTTAACATTATTGATGGTTAATGTTCCAGTTGACATGAGGTGATCCAGCTCATCTCATCTGTTTGGTAGTTAATAGCTGGTTAATTTTATTAATAGCTGGTCTCCAAGGCAATAGGAGAGGAGCACTGAGGAAGAGCCAGTATCAGTCTGATGATCTGAGGGCAGAGAGGTGATAATGCACTTGTGCAACCGTGCACAAATCTGAAGAGCGTTCCTGGAAATAATGAAAAAGGAGTTTAGTCGAATTATTTGGATGCATCAGTAGTGACCCATGCAATGTCACTTGGTATATTAATGCAATGTTTTTTAAGTGTCTTTATGATTAAGGCAGCACTGAACTTGGAGGTTTTGCTCACTGGCACCTTTGTTCATGCCTAGTGAATAAGAGCACACTGGAGTTGTGAACTATTGTAGTGAACAATACAGTGATGTAGTGATTTAGTTAGCTTAACATTACAATATTGCCAGTGATGCTAAATTTGACCAACATTTGCACTCTGGAGAGATGACATGCCAATTCACATTATTTTGAACTGAACGATGCGGTATGTCCCATGGTCTGTCGCTGTCCTGGGGCATTGTTTCGTGTTAGTATCACAGCTGTGCGCTCAAAGACATTCTCCACAGCATCATGAGAAACTGCACAGGATACAGCTGCGTGTTTGTCATATTAATGCGTGGGTCTCTGCTGTTCCCCATGACTGTCCACAGGGGCCACAGGGCAAAGAGAGAAGCCCCCAGACAGGAAGGAGAGACCCACAAGCCTGGCAGGTGAGTGGGGAGCCACAGGCTGCACTGAATATCGAAGGCAAGTTCTTCCCAAATATCCACATAGCCTTTTGAAATGTCCGGATCGGGAGGAACATTTCCCACTTGCAAAGATTTACAAGCATAATGTTTAAAGGGGACTCTTTCTGCGAATCTGAGCAGAACTACCCCCTGTGCTCCTGGGTACAGGTAATCTGAAGGTTTTAATGAACCCCTCTGTGCCATTCTTGGGCATGTGATGAAATTGCTCCACCAGCTCCCTTCCTGAAGAGAGCCAAGAGCTGCAGACGGGCAGAGATGATTTAAATTTGACGCTCGGACCTGTGCTGCGTGTCCTTGGGAGGTGTCTGGATACAGCCCGCATGAACACACGCGCACATGTAAACTCCAGATGGAGACGTAGCACAGAACTAGAATTGAATCCTGGAGTATAGAGCTGTGAAGAAGCAACACTGAAAAGTGATGCTAGACTGTATATACACTAAAAACTAAAAAATTATGAATTGCAGAAATATAATTATCTGTGGTAGTAATTATGGCCATGTAGATTACAGATTTAGTCCTAGATACGGTAAATTAGTCTTAAGTATATTGATTCTTTTACATTGTGAAGTCTGATATGCTGGTGTGCTAAGGGTATCTTTATGAAGTAATCAAGTTCCCCACAGCACTTTCTCAGCATCTTTAATTGTATTACAGAGGATTGCAAAATGCTACTGATTGGGCGCCTCTGTGGCGACACTCAATCACAATGAAAAACATCCAGAACAATGGAAGTTCACTAGGAGATTACAAGGTAGAAAATGTTTAAACACGGTAAAGAACTCACTAGAGCTGGGAGGACTCGCGGGTCACGTATGAGCCTTTACATGGTTCTTATCAGATATTCATATCTGACATCAGAGGCATGCAAATCCACTCCTGTGTGTGTACAACAGGAGCTGTTCAACTGGCACCTAAATAAGACCTCAAAAGAGGATCTAATTCATTCAAATTCAAATTATTAATTCAATTAATTAGGCTCTTGGATGAGTTGAATACCTTAGGAGGTTGCCCATCACTGTCTTCATTAGCAATGTGTAGTATTAATAATAGTGGTATTTTCTTCTGCTGTGAATGCAGTGAGGGTTATTTGACAAGTACAATTTTTTAATATTGTTTCTCGAGAGTAATAATAAAGCCAGGGTCAAGACTGTGCAGACCCCCGGCTGAAGAGGTCAGAATCAAAAACAGCTTTGATTAATCACCCGCCTTTAATCCACGTACAACACTAAAGACAATTTTAGAGAGCTTAACTCTGCTAAGCCCCTCTGCTTCCTAACTGTTTGGCCGTGATACCGTGGCAGTTACAATCTCTGTGGCCAGAGTGCCTTGGTCCTGCTCGGACTGACTCTCACTGCAGGGAAAGGCAACTCAGGATTTAGGGTGGCCTGCAGGTTCCCCAGAAGAAGGAAGAAACATTTTCATTTTTGGGGAGAAGTATTAAACTACATAAGCTAGTGGTTCACAGGCCTTAAAAACTTATTTCATGGCATTTTATTTTTCTTCTTTGTTTGTTTAAGACAACAAAAGCCTTCAAAAATATTTTTTTTTACTTGTAAAATATTTGCATGTACTGCTCGCTTTTGTATGGGATATCTACCCTGTAAAGGGCATTTTTTTTTTAATGACGTTGCCAATCCAGAATACAGTTATGTCACTATAAATGTAGAAAACCCTCTGTCCCCTGCTGCCTATCGGAGAAGCACAGCTCAGATGAAACATGCTAGAATCGTTATCTTGAGAACGGGACTATCCAACAGCCACCTGAAATCTGTGTTTCGTTCCAGCCCCATCCTGAAAAGAAGTCCGGATATCACCAAAGCACCACTGACCAAATCTGAACAGCTTCTAAGAATAGACGACCATGACTTTACAATGAGACCAGGATTTGGAGGTGAGGCACTTATCCAGATTTCTTGATGTGTACTCTGTATTTTTTATCTGTTGAATAGTGACCAAATACCGTATCTACTGTGAACAATTATTAATTAAACTAATACTGGTTAGTGGAAGAGATAAATGGAGTTTATTGAACTAAAGTTTGGGAGGGGTGACAACAACCACGCTCAATCATCCCCAGCCGTCGGCGATTAGCAATCACTCCCTTCGTCCTTCCTCCGCCGAACGCTATAAATACCGAATGCTATCTCTCTCTCCCTCGCGTGTGACTTCTGCATCCCACCTCCAGCCCAACTCCACCTCTGCAGCGGCCCCTTGGTTATCCTGAGGGGGAGTCCTGGCCTCCTCGTCCTCTGGCCAGGAGGTCGGCCCTCAGCCAAGCGGGTTAAGACAAATATTCGCTCCACAGTAGTTCATTGCGCTTCGATTTTGGGCGTTGTCATTCCTCGTGAATCTGTCCAAAGCGGCATAGACGGACTGCAGATAAATTACCTTGTACTATTTTAGTGCTCTGTGATTGGCAATGATAGAGCTACTGAAAAACATACAAAAAGTCATTTGTTTCTCATGCCAACGGATATCCCCTGAACTGCTTAAAGTTGGTTATAACTGCTGACTGACTGCAGGTGAGCTGTGGCCTGAATTATTTCCTCGTGTTGTCTTTGAAGTAAACAAAACAAAAACAAAAAGAATTTTGTGACCTCGTGCACAGAAGATATGACATGGGAAAAATATTCCCCAGAAAGGTTCGTATATGAGAATTTTTGTCTTTCTGATGTGGATATCATTCGATAATTCTTTTTATCGATCTTCTAGTTATAAAAGGGACAACATCTTGGATGTTAACAAGAGAGTCTTGTGAAGTTCATGCTATCTGTCGGTCACATAACTCACACAGGATTAAGCGCTGGCTGGTTTAGTCATTAGTTCCAGTCTTGAGCCAGTTTCAAGCTTTA